ACCATTGTGACCGGTTAAGTTCGTGCCTGAAAGTCCTGCTTCAACAAGAAGAGCCTGCCACCCATCAATGCTGCATGAGTTCCGGTTGTAAGACATCTCACCGATCTCTAAAGAACATTACCGCAAGGCTGGACAAGGGGGGTTGTGGCTGGGAGGGCCTGGGCATTGGCGGCCTCTAAAGAGGTAGCGCTACACTCATATCTCATGAATGTCTTTCTTTTTAAGCGAGGGAAGACATAAGTGAATTCACTCAACTGTCTCCTCCAATTCACTCGGATTCTTGGTGTCTATTGGAACCATTATCCTTCAGAGAAGGTTTGCTGCTTACAAAATCACTGCAGCAAGCTTTGAGAAAATACAGAAAGCCCCTCTGAGGGCAATCACATTGAAATATTTTTTCTATAATTCAGTGTAAGATTATGTTATAACAATGGTGTCCTCAAAATTAGAAAAGATATAACGATTGATGGCTCCCTTTAAAAGGATCAAAGTCTTTTGGAGATTTTTTGTTTTGTAAAAACACTCTTTTTAAAAACATTACTTTGAAATTTTCTACTGAGCAGAGATGCTAAATTTGGTTTATTCTGGGTTAAAGGTGACATTTCTTTTAATCCAGAATCTTAATGACTTATACCAAACTAGTGGTTGAATATGGTGAAATTGCTTGGTTTTCATAATGTTTCAGGACATTTATAGAAACAAAGCTCTTTTAGTGTAAGGGTGGGGAGGGCGAGGTATCTCTACATTGTCTATTAAAATCTACTTTGTCTATCCTTATGGTACTGCTTTTTATTTTGCGGTGTGCTACATTACTTCATTCTGTCTTTGTTCAGTCTTACAGAGTCTTACAGTATATATATTAATCCTAGAATGTGCTTGAAGAATAACGATAAACACACTCCAGAGACTCAGAAAACCGATGTGTCATTTCTCTTTTACTAATAGAAAAACCATTAAAACAAGTTGCTTTGATATTGTGGTTGGGATAGTTTTGTGAGTTTTGTTAATTGCTTTTCTATGGACAGCTTTCTGTTGTCCATGCAAACTAATAAAGTTCAGTGGACTTTATCTGCTGTGGATAATGCAAAAGCATATTCAAGTCTATTTTTCATTGAGTACATACCAGGTTATTCCTCTTCAGACTTGGAGGGTAGACGGTCACAGGACAAGAATTCATCCATATAAAATGAATAATTATTTAAATATACTGCCAGAAATAAAGTTCCTAATCTTCTGGGGTACATCTACTCCTTAGAACATAGATTCACTTTACTGTGTGGTATGGACAAGTAATTGAGCATCTCTCTCTGCTTTTGGAACTATTATAGTCCATAAATAGTTGTATGATGTCAAAGAAAACTAGGTTCATCCTTTTTCCTCTTCTTATAACTTACCATTTTATTTTATTTATTTTATTTTATTTCAGCTTAATGTAATCTTCCTTGGAATTGCCCTTTATAAAATGTTTCATCATACTGCCATTCTGAAACCTGAATCAGGGTGTCTCGACAATATCAAGTAAGTAAATTCTTCCCACTTTCTTTATTGTTTCCAGCTGAATTACACAATGGAGTACTAAACTAAGATACTTGTGTCCTGACACTGGACTGATGTCCTGACTGAAATTAAGGGTGTCCGGGAGAACTAAATACAAAGACATCTAAATAACTAAATTAACTGCAGCCAATTTACTGTGGACTTAAACCATCCCGTTGTGTCCATATTTTATTATTCAGTTTTTCATATGAATGTCTTGCTTTGGGGCGAAGGACAGATAAATCATATTCAGGCATAGCAAGCACATTGGAGTTTCTTCTTCATGGTAAGGCCAGTAATCTTTTCAAATGATGAACATAGGTTTCAAAATAGTAAAAATAAAATAGCAAAAATATCATAAACTTGATGAGTTTGCTGACATTTTAGCAATGTCTTTCTCTACATTTTGTGTAAGAATTCAGAAATCTTGCGAGACTTTGGCCATGTGATCATATAGAGTTTGGCAGTTATATGGGTGCCATTTAGGTTAAAAATATAATTTGTACTGAACGTTGAAGCAATGAATGCAGAAGCAGGAAATAATTTTATATTGTTGATTTATTTTGTATTGCTTGCATGGATGGATTTTTTTTCTTGATTCAATGTTAGCAAGTGTAATATCTGCCCCACTTTTCTATGGTGTAATATATTGAATAGCTGTTTCTGCTTCTCTGCTGGACTGATTACAAGGGCCTTGGATGTTCATGCTTAAATAAACCAAAACAGAAACAAATCATGAGCATAGCTTTAAAAATGAATACTTTGAATAACAGCATCTTGGATTAAACAAAATTGGCAAACAGATTCCACCCCCACCACCAATATTAGAGGAAAGTCGGGCCCATTATTTAAAAATAATATTATTAAAACTAATATTTAGAAAGACATTACACAAACTGTATTAGAAAGGTCAGAGATTATCACCAAAAAGAATACCTGCTTGCCTTTCGTGAGGAGATTTACCACCTTTGCAGTATCTTTCCTCTGACGCTTACAAATACTTTCCAAAATTACATTTAGAAGGAAAAGCAAGGAACAGGTATTTCAGACCTCTAGCTACTCTTAATCCTGTAAAGTGATCATTTCTTCCTTCTCCTCATGTAGACCACTATCTTATTGTCAAATGCTCTTGCAAATTATTTTTTGCCCATGCAAAACACACACATACACACATACAAGAATGCGTGCCTCTGTATATTCATAAAGACCTGGTGACTTCCTTCAGCAGCACAACAGCTACTACTTCTATTTTTTCCCCTCTTACAGTGATTGTTTGGACATATAAATGTCAGGTGATTACTGTTGAAAGAAAGAAGAACGCACATACTGAAGCTGTTTTGGGAAAAAAAGTGTTTAAAATGGTGAAATAGATTGAAAAGGCAATTGATGGTCTGTATTTGCTTTTTGAAGAGAAATTGCTCAGTTTATGGAAGGATTTCTCTTTTAAAAGCAACAGAAAAAGAATCAATCCATCATTCTTGTCAGTGAGCATACACAAACCTCTATCCTGTGTCTTCATCGTGTGTGTGTGTGTGTGTGTGTGTGTGTGGTGGGGAAAGGTGAAGAGAAGTGTTTGAAGAGAACTTCAAGAGGACAACTGGTCTATAATACTCTTCAAGACCTCCATGAGTCTGTGGCCCATAAACTGGATAATAATCTCTTAGTTTGATTCAGTAAGTTTTTTTGTGTGCTATCTTCCTTGATGCTTATCTGGGGAAAAATTCTATCTAATGTATCTAATCTGTTTCCTTTTCCAGCATTCCTAAGATTTCCAGAATTAAAAAAATAGGTTTAGTAATACTCTTAATGATAAGAATAAACTTATTAAGGGTAGTTTTCTAAGTAGATATGTAAGTATGTAGATGCATATGAACAAATCATAGACAAATTTATGTCTTATCCCTATATCACATACAATCACTGACAGAGAGATCTTATAAAATTTGGGGAGCAAGATGATGACCCTCTTCTCCTGGAAGGTGATCTGGTTTCTCATATGCTGGAGAAGAGAAATAGAAATGGGACCATGTCATGGCAGACTGCCATGCTGGTTGTCCTATCATCTTACTTGACGGTCAAGAGCCATCCTTTTGGTATTGCTGCTGATCCATAATCATGGGTCATCATGGTTAATAATTACTGTAAACACCCTCCAATTTCTAGTGATTATAAGACAACACTACTGCAATTAGAATACTTAGTTTGTAATCCCCTCTTGGAAAATCCTCAGTCTCATAATGATCACTACTTATAAAAACCAATGTATAGATTAAAAGTACAACAAAATGTCAGCCATAATTATCAGAGGCAGAAAAATCTTTTTTCCCAAATAAAGCTGTAAGATTTGGTTTAAAAGCTGAAATATAAAATTATGTGCAGTGTGAGATAAATTACATCCATTTCTGTCTGTTATCCAATGAAGCTGATTTGTACCAAGAAAAATTTATAGTGTGGTGCAATGCCTTGCAGCCAAAAGAATTAAAAGGAGCTTAAGAACACACTGGTTGCAAATGTAGCAATTAGACTATAGAATAATAGAGTTGGAAGAGACTCCTTGCTCAAGGAAGAAACCCTATTCCATTTCAGACAAATGGTTGTCTAGTCTGTTTTTGAAAACCTCCAGTGATGGAGCACCCACAACTTCTGAAGACAAGCTATTTCATTGGTTGATTGCTCTAACCGTTAAGAAATTTTTCTTTATTTCCAGGTTGCTTTTTTCCTTGGTTAGTTTCCATCCATTGTTTCTTGTCTTGCCTTGTCTTGCCAGCAATTGTCTGCAATCCATTAAAGCAGCTGTGTCTTTTCCCAGCATCACATTTTTGCCCTCCACAGCTGCTGTATGATAATGGAAAACAACTTATTTGGTTGAAGGAGTTGGAGAGAAGTGCTGTATTCATAGCTGTGCATAGTCCAAAATACCTTTTTGCCTTGAAATTCAAAGTATATATAATTTACATAACTTACTTTTCCCAGGAAGCATTACTAGATTAAGTCTATAAAGGTAATTGGTTTAAATTGGAAAATAAGAACACCAACACCACCACTGCTTTTATTGTTATTTGTCACATTATTATATGTTTATGTTTATGTTTATTTAGATTTGTATACCGCCCTATCTCCCTTACGGGACTCAGGGCGGTGAACAGGCGATAATAAAAATCACAATAAATATCTATTCTAAAATCAAATTAAATAAATAAAGGCCTGCTCTAAAATACCCCATATAAAAACCTATACTAAAACCTAATTAAGACTACGCCAGGCCGGCCACACGAAATAGATGGGTTTTCAGGGCTCGGCGAAAAAGGCGCAGGTCCGCAGTTGTACGTAGGTCGGGGGGTAGGTCATTCCAGAGGGCAGGAGCTGCCACAGAGAAGGCTCTCCCCCTGGGGGTCACCAGCCAGCATTGACTGGCCGACGGCACCCTAAGGAGGCCCTCTCTGTGGGAGCAGACTGGTCGAAGGGAGGTATTTGGTAGGAGGCGGTCTTGCAAATACGTAGGTCCATTGCCATGGAGCACTTTAACGGTTGTTACTAACACCTTGAAGCACACCCGGAAGGCCACAGGCAGCCAGTGCAGCTCACGCAGGAGAGGTGTTACATGGGAGTATCTAGAGGCCCCCAAAATCCCCCGCGCGGCCGCATTCTGAACTAGCTGGAGCCTCCAGATGCACCTCAAGGGGAGCCCCATGTAGAGAGCATTGCAATAGTCCAGGCGGGAAACAACGAGGGCTTGAGTGACCGTGCGTAGAGCGTCACGATCCAGAAAGGGGCGCAACTGGCGTATCAGGCGAGCCTGATGAAAAGCCCCCCTGGCCACGGCTGTTATATGATCGTCTAAAGACAGCCGAGTGTCCAGGAGGACGCCCAAGTTGCGGGCCCTCTCCGCGGGGGCTAATGACTCACCCCCGATAGCCAGGGATGGAGCCAACTGGCTATGTCGTGACGCCGGAAACCACAGCCACTCAGTCTTGGACGGGTTGAATCGAAGCCTGTCCCTCCCCATCCAGAATGTTACATTCAATATCTGAAGTAATTAACTGAAAATTGTGAGAAGATTGGATATTAGATCACATTGGTTAATCTAAAGCAAAGTTCTTCTTTGCTTATTAGTTTAGTTGATAAATGCTGACACACCTGGTAGGTCTACTGTGATAAAAAAAATTGAATACACGTTTCTTCAGATTGCTCTTTATAGTACAGGGGTGTCAAACTGCCGGCCCACGAGCCGGTTGCATCATATGAACGCTGTGCCCACCCCAGCTCCAGCAATGCAAAAAAAGTTGTGATACGTCACAACACATTACATGTGTTACTATTATAGCAGCGAGTTTGACACCCGTGCTATAATAGATAGATAGAATATTTAATAATTGATTGTACAGAATAAAGTTTCTGTATTACTTTTTCTTCAGCTAGACTAATCAGGGAGAGAAACTGTGTTCAATATTATTCACAGAGATATATTTCCAATGAAATGTTCTTGAGAATCTGAGAATGAAACAAATGAAATAAAAAGAAATAAAAGCATTTCTACTGATACTGTCTTAAGAAGTTAAGATAAGTACACACAACTCTGCAGTCAGAAAAAGAACCTGCTGTATATTTGCAGCAAGTACAAAGTTATAGTCATGCTTTGTGGAACAAGTAAAGAGAACTTGAAACAGTCACTGGCCATATTTCAGCTCTTAAGAAAAGACGAAGTGTGATTATATCAAATCAGCTCTGTGCAATTGGAATTCAGAAATAACTTTTAGATCCTCACAGAGGAAAAAGCTCTGGTTCCCTAGACAAAGCATAGGAAACTATGTGGAACGGGTGGCTAGAAATGAACAGAATGGATTCAGATTGTACCTTCAAGAGGACAAAAAGTGTTGTAAGAGTTGGTGACTTGCTATTATGAGGAATAGAAACTAGAAATAATATATGCTGGCCAGATCTGCTCATTTTGACTGTATGCTGTTTCCCAGAAGGCACATGAA